ATCTAAGGGCACGCATGAGGGGTGCCCAGCACAGGTAGAGAGTGAATTCAGCTATTCACCCCTCGGTGGACGGCTGAAGCCCACCCACCATGACAAAGGTAATCTTCCACAGTCAGGGAACTGACCCAGATGTTACCTTCTTCGGGAAACTGTCACAAAGCACCCTTACCCCAGGCAAGCTGACTCATAAAGTTACCATCACACCCTTTAAATCATGCCAAGTACCGTGGAGAGGAATAACCTAACGCCAGGACTTGGTGTACATAACTGCTAAGAAGTAAGTAAGCTTAGCTGAGTGATTCAAAAGGTGATCTTATATGGATGGTGTCCTGATAGCCACAGAAGTTTGATGAGAACTTACTGAATTTTTTATTTCTGCAAAAAAGTTAAATTGATAAGTAAAATGTTCAAAAGTTAAAATAATATAAAAGATGAATTAATAAAAGAACTTTAATTTTTTTTAATTTTCAAAACTAAAAATGCATCTTCTAATCCTTGTACATAATTTAAGAAAATCAAGGCCTAAAGAAGTATCTCTTGGGTCCAAGATCACAGCATAGGCCAAGCTGAGCATTAAACTCATCACTTTGGACTTCTAGCCCATCGTCCTTCCCCTGCCTTCGCTTTACAATAGGGATAAAATTTTATCCTCACCTCCGGGAAGAAATTCATTGAAGTCTCTGGTGCACTAAAGCTGAAATTCATTTCCATATTAAGCTCTCTTGGGACATGGATCTAATTGCTAACTACTGTGTGCTTTCCAGGGGCTCCAAAGTGTCCTTTCAAATGACAGAACACTTCAGAAGAAGATATTCTAGCCTCACATAATGGGATAGGCATGACTGGACCACCTGGGATGTTTCAGAATAAACACAAGGGGTACTCAGCCGCTGGTGCACACTCAAGTCAGTGGGGGCCTTGTGACCCCGCTACGGCCTCATCCAACTACCGCTGGATTGTAGGTCTCCTGAATCATGGAGCCCAGCTAGCTAGCATTGTCTGAGAACTTGCCCAGATGGCCTCAACCAGCTTAGGAGATGAGACAACAGCCCCAACTGACCAGGAGCCCAGCCACCAGCCCCACCCAACGTTAAGATGCTCCAGCCAGCCGTTCCCTGCTGCAGAGCACTGGCTGCTCACCGGTCTACCCCAGGGTCCTGCAGGCCCTGTCTGATTCTGATCTCCATGGGCCCCTTCCTGTCCACAGACCCAGCCAAGTATTCCACCCAGAATCCAGGATGGGCTGACTTCTGAAACATTTCTCTTGCTGAAGACAGACTGCAAAGACTGGAAGAGGTGATGACTTCTTTCCACATGCAGACATCAACACAGACTACAAGGGTCATGAAGAACCAGGGAAACCAGCTGACACCAAAGGAAAGCAAGAAAACAGCAACAACTGACCCTAAAGAATTGGGTTTAGGGGCTGGGGATTTAGCTCAGAGGCACAGAGCCTGCCTGGCAAGCACAAGGTCGTGAGTTCAATTCCTGGTACCGGAAAAAAAAAAAAAGAATTGGGGTTATACGAGCTGCCTGACAAAGATGAAGGATTTGAATTGGGGTTATACAAGCTGCCTGACAAAGACAAAGAAACATGAATTAAAATGACAAATTCAACAGAGAGCTTTAACAGCACACATGATCAAGCAGGGGAAAGAAGTAGAGATTTTCAAATAGGTCATTTATATTACGCATTTAGAGCAGCAGTAAGAAAAGAACAGAATGAAAAACGGTGAAGAAAGCCTAAGGGACTATGAGCACCATCAACAGAAATGACGTACGAAAAAAAAAAAAAACCAGAAATGACGTACGATATGGAAATCTCAGAAGCGAAAGAGAGAAGAACAAACAAACAAACAAAAAGCCACTAGATATAAATGCTGGGAAGAAGGATGAGGAAATACATACTCTTACACATTGTTGGTGGGAATATGAAATGGCATAGCTCCAGGGGAAGGCAGAAGTTCCTCAAAAAATTAAAGACAGAACTACCGTATGACCCAGGAATCTCACTTCTAAGTGTATCTCCAAAAGATTTGAGATCAGGTTCTTCAAATGATACCTAACTTCTATTTTCTCTGCATTACTTATAATATCAAAAGTATAGAAACAACTCAAATTTACATCAAAACATGAATGAATGGAGAAATTGTTCCATAAAACCCCAGTGGGATATTAACCAGCCTTAAAAAAAAAAGGACATTCTACCATTTGAGACAATTTTGGACAGCCCAGTAAGATGTAATGCTAAGTGAAATAAGTCAATAACGAAGGACAAAAATGGTCCATGTCTATAATGTGAGGCTTGTAAAACAGTCAAATGCACACAAATACACAACAGAATGGTCATCCCCAGGGGCAGGGGAGAGGGAACAGGAATCTGTCCTGCGGCATGAAATTGAAATTATAAGAGGAAAGTAAGTTTCAAAGACCTGTTGAATACCATGTTCCTGGAGATAGCAACAAGACACCGCAAACTTTCAAATGTAATAAGAGGAGAGAACTCATTTTAAACATACTTGCTATAAATAAATACAAAACAGAGGGTCACAAGAAAACTTTTGGAGGTAATGAATAGATTGAGTACCTTGATCATGGTAGTAACACAAGTATACACAAATACCCACATTCATTATATCGTGTACATTATGTGGAGTTTTGGTGCACTCAATTTTAGCTCAAAAATTGTCAGAATATTTAAATTTTAAAAAGTTTCAGGGTTATCAGGCATCATCACCTTGGCTGAGATGTGTCCACATCCATTTTTAATACCTAAAACCCAGCGTGCCCCAGTCCTCCCTGTTCCACCAGGTACAGCGATTCGGAGACTCCCCAGCAGCTTCTGAAATGTACTGTATCTCTAGCACATTTCCCAGATAACAGAGCAGCTCACAATGGGTGTTTGAGTATTTGTATTGCTTAGAGGTTTGGGCAAGTTATTTGAGCACTCTTAGCATATACTTTAATTGTGAAGCAGGGTAATACCACCTACTCAACATGGCTGTGATGAAGATTAATGAGATGATGTACAAACTGTTAACACAGGACACTTGGCAGGTGGGCTGCGAAGTTCTACCCCCGCACTTTCCTTGGAACTGACCGTGTACTGGCTCCATCTCACCTGCATCCTAAGTGCTGGCTTCCTCCCTGGGCTGCTGGTAGAGGGGGTAAGGGCATGAACAGAAAGCAAGGGTTTGCTCTGTAGGAAAAAGTTATCATGCACACTCAGGGTTCTGATATTGAATGGGCACAGAAAGTTTTCCAAGTAATCTAGAGATTTTTTCAAAAAACAATTGCCTCTGAAAAATAGCATACATAAACCTTGAAAATTTGCTATTTTATCATGCCATTTAGTATAATCTCCACTAAGAAAATAATGGACACTGTGCACGGCGCATACTAAGCATTCCGTCAGTAAAGGGGCAGACAGTGAGGTGTACTTATTTACAGAGAGAAGGACAACACCACAAGATGCTGGTGTATACTGTGTGTTCATGCCTGTAACCAATCCAATTGGAAATTATTCTCATCCTGTTTCTTTTCATCCTCTGAATGATTAAAGTGAAGCTCGTATTTATGAGCTTGGGGAGCTGTATGTATCTAGTTTTAAAACATAATGTCATCAGCTATTGTTCCCAGACCACAAGGCCACCCCCCATCAGGAGCTGCACGCTGTGCTGACCTACACCCTCCTGCGTCACTGTGGAAAGCGTGCACCGCTAAGAGTAGAGACAGGTGTTTCATCAACTTACAGTCCCTTCCCTGACTGGGAAGGCCTGTCCTGAATGTGACTGAGTAGTCCTGTCAAATTATGCACAAGTCACTATGTCTCGTAACCGGGATTATTTGTAGTCATTTGTCTGATAGCGACAAGTATGAAAGTATCTGAGGTAAGTTCCACATTGTCATGATCAGAATGCCGTTTAGCTTTGTCACATAGTGTAAACACCAAGTTTTCCTGCCTTAGCATTTGACCAAAAGCCATAAACTCCATGTGAGCTGTGACACACTTCATTTTCAGTTCCTGTTTGAAGGAAGATAGTGGTGAAATCATGACCTTTCATTTTTGTATTGCTGATGTATTACACCAAAATTAACTTGCCATATTTTCCATCTAAGTCTTGAGTGCCACTATAGTTGAACTGCTTCATCTTCACCAGTCTAAGAAAATTGGAGAGCCTACAGGATTGCTATGTAATTTGTAGTCATGGTGACAGCGATGGGATGCCCCACCTAGCCATGAACAACAGCCTGATTTATCTGCAGGTTATCTTGACTATTGCATAATGTGCTTGTAAAATCATGTCTCAGACACCAAGTACATATCAAGATTAAAAAATTCTGGGCCCAAGATTAATTTTCTAAAACCAAATATATTTCAAAGATAAACACACAGAAAATGTGACCAAAATTCTAAGAAGAAAATAAACTAAATTGATTTCCATGGAAAGTACCCTATTACAGTCTTCTGAAGACTCAGATAATGATGAATAAGGAAGTGAATCTATTGTGTCAATCTTATCTTGAGTACATATATTTTTAAAAACAGTAACATTATCATATATTTCAATGCTTGTGGAGTCCTGTGTCTAAAAGTATTGGTTTTATCTGAAAAATGAAATGACTGATGTAGTAGTTTAGAGACTCATTGTGATAAGTGTCTGAGACTCCACAAAGACTCAGTGATGAATGTGCTGGCATGGGCAGCTCCACGCTGAGAGTCCTGCATGTGCGGGTCCCCTTAGAAAGGTGTCAGCTTCCATTTATTTCGGGGCCATTGAATTTCCCTTTTGTTCCAGGACAAAACTAAATCAGTCATATCTTGTAGACATCGCGGAATGGAATAATAAAGACAGAGGAAAGGGGACACAGCATCCTGAAAACTGTTTTGGAAATTTCCTCTAATAAAACTCTAACATCTCTGATAACAGATCACATTCTTTAGACAATCCCAGGGCTGCAAGGGAACAGTATTAATCACAAATATGTGATTCCATCAATCATTTCTTTAAAGCAACTTAAAGTTTTTTATTGTTGGTTTTATAATATTCTATGGCTTTGCGAAAAGAAAGAAGTATATAAGTGACTATTTGCCTGAAAGTAAATGTTGGAAATGCTGCTCAGTACTTGACCATGTGTTCCTTGGACCACGTGTTGCTCTTTGAGTGTCAGGAAGATCAACGCCAGTCGGAGTTTCCAGGGGAAAAGCCAGGATGGTCACTCCAGACAACCTCTTCTGTGGGTTAAACGACCCTCGGAATCTACAGATTCAACCACCTGGTGCCGTTGGGCTTGGAGAGGGAGTGAGGGGAGACCACAGTGAGGCAGGCAGTCACGCCTCCGGGTGGCAACTGTAAATTTCAGAATTTCTCATTTTATTAAAAACTATGATTTTAAAAATTTGGTTATCATTGTGAGTCAAATGTTCCTGTCTAGAGATCCGTCCAGGACTCCAAAGGTCTTTCTCTCCAACTGGAGTAGTTTCATCCTCTCAGGAGCACGTCAGTAGTTGCAGGTGTTCATCAGTTGCTTTCTGTTCTGCAAAGAAGACATATACAAGGAATGTAAAGGACCTTGTTATACGAGAGCTCTTAGAAATGGCGACCGTGCCTTCCGAAGGCTCAACTTCACCTTGATTATCCATTCTGAGAGGAGGACAAAGTAACTTCTTTGAGCCCAGTTCCCAGAAAGGACTAAATATTTGTGTGTGTGCATGTGTGTGTGTGTGTGTGTGTGAGTTTTTCTTACACTCTGGGTTTGTCTACTGGGCTTGGCTTGGCTTGGCTTGGCTTTTGCTCATTCCTATAAAGTGAAGGTCACAAACCCAAGGATTCCTATGCCAGTATTTCTGCCTATCACATTTTCACTTACCGTAAACATAGATGATGGACATAAACAGGAAACACCACACTGTCATCTGCCCCTGGTGCAGCCTGCTGGGGTCATTATAAACGATCCTACCCAGCAGCAGGAGGACCCTAGAAGAGCTCCTGAGACCCACACACACTCGACCTGACTCCCAACTGAAAACTAACGCAATCATTTAAATTATAAACTCATCGTTTAAAAGACGAATTCAAGCACAGTTCTGGGGCTGGGGATTTAGCTCAGCGGCACAGTGCCTGCCTGGCAAGCGCAAGGTCGTGAGTTTGATTCCCAGTACCGGGGGAAAAAAAAAAATCAAGCACAGTTCTTCATGGTATCCTTTCCGTTAGAGCCAATGAGGGGTTCGAGTTTTTCCTCTAGATTTTGTGTTCTATATTACTTCAGAAATAAATCACCAATTACATGTGAATCTCTCTTGTAATGCCTATAACTTTAGTTTTTAAAAATTTTCCTTACCATAGATATTAGCTGAACATACCCTGTTTCAGTACCTCTCTGCTTTCCTTGATTCAGCAGCTCTCTTCCTCACCACAGTAAGGAGCTGGGGGTCAGACGTTGCAATTTGATTTTATAATTGAGAGCCTTCGTAATAGTCAAAATATTTCTAGTGAATGTGTATTTTGTGTAAGAAGTATTTTTTGTAAATTATCTTTGCTCACCACCAGTAAGAACATAGAAAATTCATATTATTTTAATGCTAATTCTATATATTTAGTTAATAAAATAAATATACTTCAAAATCCATGGACAATTATCAAATCAAATTTTACTTAACGCTCAATTTTGTATAACTAGCCCTGATTTGTCCTGATGACTGAGTTCTTCATATTACAGCCCCTTTGCTATTCCTTTGCCTGGCTCCCACCTGTAGTCCATGCTATCCAATAAAACATAGAATCTTGCCAGGTATGGTGGTGCACACCTATAATCCCACTACTTAAGAGGCTGAGGCAGAAAGATCACTGCAAGTTTGAGGCTAGCCTGGGCTACATGGTGAGTCCAAAGCCAGAATGAAGTACATGGCAAAACCTTGCGTCAAAGAACAAATAAATTTAAAAGAAATAGAATCCTGAAACCTGAAGCACTTTTGCTTTTGAACATTTCAAAGACTCAATGATCATTTAAAAAAATAATTTTAAAAAGTCATCTTAGAGTTATTTTATTGAATATTTTCAAATTAATACATGCTCATGATAAAACAAAACCCAAAGTAATACAGATGAAAGATCTAATCTTTATAACTTATTTCTCTCTAAGAATATCCATGGTTAACTCTTCCATATACGGTATACCCTTTAAAAAGTCTATGTATACACATACACATGGGTATTTATGTGTATCCTCATTGATGTAGATACATGCTTTTATATTTTCACCATAATTATCCTTATTAACACACAGACAGCTATTTCATTAATTGGGTCCCACAAAACTAGCCTATTTAGCCTCCACCAAGTAAACATTTAGCTTATTTCTTCTGCTTTGCTAAAACTAGTAGTACTACAATTGATATCCTTTTATCTATGAACACTTGTGCAATTAAACCATGAGATGAATTCCTAGAGATAGGCTTCCTAGGCCAAAGTATACATGCTTGTGGAAATTGGATCGATATGGGTAGATTAGTGTCTTTCAAGGGTAAGGCCACTTCACATTTTTACTATGATTGCATACAAATCTTTTTACCCACACTGTAATCAGAACTGGATACAGAAAAGGATTCTGCACTGTTCTAACAATGTTTTCTCTTCCACACATGACAGAAACAATAGTTCTCAGCGATGATTAAATAACTACAATTAGTGGTCAAATGTTACATAAGTAAGTGAGAACAATTCTGATGTTTTCCTTTGCTGTTCATCTTTAAGAGAAAGAACAGTGAGAGGAGGAAGGAAAGCAACGCTATGATTTTGTCTACATTTAAGCAGGAACATGCTCAAGGTACAGAAATTGGAAGCAAGATCTGAAACATGAGCTCTCTTTTGTTCCACAAGTGTACTGTAACAGGCACTAGTCAATAAGAATCTGCCTTTCAGCACGGTGAAGTTTTCAGCAGCAATAATTATGTCTGTGTATTTCATTTTCTACTTTAAGGAAAGCTTGTGATGCATGCAGAGTATGCACAAGGCTCCCAGAGTGGGCGAATTACTCCCGCGCTAACTCCTTTTATCTGGCCACCACTCGGCCAGTCTCCCAACATAGGAAAGAATAGAGTATGCTGAGTCTTCAAGGAACCTCAAACTGAATTTGAGTTTAAAGTCTACTTTTCCCATTGAATAATGCAGTGAAGGCCTGCTGCATGTATAAAGGATATTCCTGAAGGCTTTTTGTTCTACGTCCTAAACAAACAAAATAAACTACAAAAAAGGCTCTAATAGATACTGGGCTTGATTAATCAATTTACTCAGTCTCATTTTAAAAATAAAAGGATGTTAATACAACAAAAATATGTACCTACAGAACAAAAGAAGATCAACAGTATAAGAGGCTGTAAAATTGTCCTTCAAAATGTAATTATTGCTTTGTGTAAGCATTCTGCACAAGACGGTTTAAATTATAAGAAGGCATCAGGACTCAAGTAACAATTCCATTCAAATTTCTTTCAATGCATTTGAAATATAAAAGCATGTATCTACATCAATGTGGATACACATAAATACCCATGTGTATGTGTATACATAGACTTTTTAAAGGGTATACATGTCAATGCATTGACATGTCAATATCTAATCCTATTATTTTGGGGTTTTTGGTTTGTTTGTTTTATTTCTTTTAAGTCCTATGCTGCATTATATATATGTATATATTTTATTTTAAAGAGAATAATAAAAAAGAATAGTAAAATACCAACAACATAGACAGACAATACAAATGATACAGGGTTTCAAAACAAAATGATAGGAATTAACAGTCACTATTATATTATATATTGTTATCATCAACGAAATTGCTCAGATTACCAGATGCAAGAATGCAAGATTGATCAAACCACTAAAGAGAATAAAAAATAAAAACAAAAAAAAACCACATTAGAAACGATACAGAGTTTCACTAGACAGGATGGTAGGAATTCACCAATGGCTGTTATATTGCATGTTGTTGTCTTCAAATTAGTTTTTCAGATTACCAGATATAAGTATGCAAAATTGGTCAAAAAGAGAAAAAAATTAGGCATTAACTGTTCCTTTCAATAAACCATTAGACTTCAGCACAACAGCTATCCCATATATAAGTAAAGAATAACTGGGATGGGAGAAAGGAGAAAAGAAGGAAGTGAAACATATATATGTGTGTGTGTGGGGGGGGTATATATGTATACATATATGCCTATATATATGTATATGTGTGTGTGTGTGTATATATATATAGGCATTTCTGCAAGGAAGACATACAAATGACTAACAAAGTTAGTTATATATATACTAACATATATATGCAAAAGATAGATAAGATGGTTATGCTAGTGATTTCTTTTAGTTCATTGATCCTACTATTTGGACCACAAACTTGTTGCAACTATAAGCTCCATGCTATACTAATTTTTGGTATGAGTTATTCTGATGTTTTGGGTTATTCTCCTTTTAACTAATACATAATAATCACACTCATTCACAGACTACAGTGTGATGTTTCAATATATACATACTTTATATAATGATCAAATAAATCGGGATATTTAGAACATCTGTAACCTCTAACATTTACCATTTCTTTGTGATAAAAACACTGAAAATCTCTTCCAGCTCTTTTGAAATAGAGAACATAATATTGTTAGCTGTATTCACTCTGCAGGACATCAGAACTTCTCCAATCTAGCTATAATTCTGAATCCATTCAATTTCTCCATGCCCCCAGGGCCCCTCTGTTGTTCTCTGACTTTGGTGAACAGTATCCTGCTATGTATTTCTGGGAGATCAGCTTTATAAAATTCCACCCAACGTGAGATCCTGTTGTATTGATCCTTCTGAGCCCAGGTCCAGCCCTCCTGCCATTAATCTGTGTTGCTATGTGGCCAATAATCAAGATTAATTGATTATATCTTATTCTGGCTTTTGTTTATATTTTCCCATTAGCGATACTGAAGCTTTTTTCCTGCCTTTGTTAGTCATTTGTATATCTTCCCTGGAGAAATGCCTATTCATATCTTTTGCCTTTTTGAATTGATGCTTTTTCCTTTTTGCTGTTGGACTGTTTATGCTTCTTTCGTATTATGGGTATCAAACTCTCATCAGACCCATAGCTTGCAACCACCTTCTGGAGGGAGGTTGTCTCTTCACTCTGTTGCCTGTTTCTTGGTTGTGTAGAGAGCTTTCAACTTAATATTACTTCCATTTGTTTATGTTTTCTTTTGTTGCTGATACTGTTTAGTACTCATTCAGAAAATTCTTGCCAATGCCAGCATCATACAGGATTCCTCTCATTTTCAGTACATAGTTTTAGTTCTTACACTTAAGACTTTGATCCAGTTTGAATTGATTTTTGTAATTGGTGAGACCCAGTGGTCTCATTTCTTCTTTCTGCAGAAAGATATCCAGCTTTGTGTGTTCTTGGCACTTTGTCCAACTCGCTGAGCCACAAACACATTCCCCTGGTTTTGAAGATACACAATTATTGGAACGCTATGGGTGAAACTCTGAATTTTCACACTCTGGTAAAAATAAAAATAGAAATAATTTCTTTCAAGAATATCTGTACTAATGGAGACCACTACAAAGCAGCTCTGAGCAGGATTTAAAATTAACCAAATGGCTTTCCGTGTTTACTTGTGAGTCTGTCCAAGGCCTAGGGCCCTTGTCTGGAGATGGGAGGCAGACTCATAGTAAGTGAACCTCTGCGAGTCACTGGGCCTGGCTGAGGCCTGCAGTGGCTTATGTTGCAGTGACACCTCAAAGACAAGATAAGGCTACAGCTGAGGAGGCCTGGTTCCAACCCCAGTTAACAAGACAAAGACTGTAGCCACAGCCATCTCACTCCTGGGGTGAAGGCCTTTCTGGAGATAACCTAGTTCTCCTAAGTTAATATAATTTATTATTTGAAGAAGTCCTTGAAATGAAATGCCTCCCAAGGTTCTGCTCAGTTCCCATGCTTTCCTCAGTATCCCCCTCCTTTGTTTAAAAACCAAATCAGTACGGGCTGCCCAGAGAAGTTCTTGTCTCAGCCCCTAGCGAATCACAAATTCTGCTAGAGCATTTTGATCTTCCTGGAGCTCTAAAATCATACCACTTGTCTCTTTTACTTCCACCTTCACCATCCACTCATTTGGGAGGTTGCAGGCCTGACTGTACCCAGATACTATACAATTTAACAAAATTCATACTTATTTTGGTTGCATTGTTGGTTAACTAAAGAAAAAATCTGGTTTGCTTTGATGATGGTGTTAATAAAAAGAACTGACCAGTTTACCCAAGGTGAATATCTGCAATGTTGCATACACATGGTCTCCTTCCTTCTTAGGTTGGTATTCAAGGCCCTTCCAAATCTAAAATAAACAACTATTATTTCTGACTTCATGTTCTATCTGACAGAACCTGTTGGTGAGATCCCTTTTCTCTTCTATTTTGGTGCATCTTGTCTGAGCAGAGTGACATCAGATGTAGCTGCCACTCCTCCTAGGCTTCTTTGTAGCTAACTATGGTGCTCAATGGATACCAAGTCTATCCGCGGAGTGGTTGGTAGAATGGAAGCAGGAGATTAGAGTGTTGGTACAATGAAGCAGGAGATTAGAGTGTGGAAAACTGGCTGGGCAAGTGGGCGTGACATATCAATCACAACCAGGACACATGTGCAGAACAGTTCCTGAGCCCTGCACCTGCGAGCAATCAGAGAAAACTATCTTCAACTCTTCTGGCACAAGCTCAAACAGGTTTTTGATAGGACTGCCTAGCACTGTGTCAGAATGGGGACATAAAAGATGGTAGCCATTAAATTTGTGGCCTCTCTAAGCCTTTTCAACAGCCCACTCTGCAGGGTGCATTTCTTTTCTTTTTCTTTTCCCACTTTAATTAGTACACCCTCATTCTGCAGAGCACTACTCTCTTTTCTTACCTTTACTATCTTTACACTTAATAAATGTAAAACCTTGCCATATTTTTCACTCGTCTGTTACACTCAGTCTGTTTTCACTCACTCTGTTACATTGTCCCATACTTTGAATAGGACAATGGCAGCCTGGAAAGAACCACTAAGAAAAGACCACAGCACCCCACTACCCCACTACTACCCCACTCACAGAAGCCCATGATGGGGTATCCAAGACAGCTCACAAAGAATACCAGCATGAAGAGTGAGATTTGCCTGAGAAATAGATCCCACTCACTCTCCTGAATTATCTTCTTCCTTTCTTCTTTTCTTCATTTTATTCTACATGTTGCTGTACAAGGTAGGGATCAAACTAGAAGTGCAAAGGTGAAATAGGGATGCTTCACTCAGCTTATATCAAAGTGCTTTTAAGATGCAATGAAATGGCTGGAGTCCCATCAACTGCATCACACCATGAGAATCTGAAGATAAAAACCACGTGTGCAGAACAAGAAAAGGGAGGCTGTGTTCTCCAGCGATTTCATGGAACTTTCATTTAATCCATAACCTCAAGCAGACTCTGTGAGAACTCCTAAGCTTCTTTCACCTGAAGCATAAACTCTTTTGTGGTTGAGCCTCTGTATTTGAGTCTCCAAAAGTAGTAACAAAACCTCAAAGTTACGGATACCCTTTTACAGCTGTATCTCACATTTCATTTCCTCCAAGTGATCTTCCTGTGGTCTTCCAACAGTCCGTGACTGCTTTGACCTTGAGTATTACACACGCTCTGAACACCGGATGAGTCCTCCCCTGTATTTATTAGTACTTTCCCTCGGCTTCCTGTATTATTGATTACCTTTTAATGTGTAATTTTTAGCCATTCAAATAAACTGCAAATGACCTAAACATAGGCAAAATGTCTATTTATTCTTGTTCTTCTTCAGGGAAAATTTCAGTGTCTTATAATAAATATTTCATAAGCAAGTGAATGAGTAACTCTTTCTTTGTTGCCTGACTAAATACTATCAGTGGGCAAATGTAGATTTGAGAGAATTCTTTTTGTTTTTCTTTTTTCTCACAACTTACCTTAGATGATGTCTGGATAAGATTATTCTAATAGATGTTCATGCAATTCATTCAAGTGAGATATTAGCATCAGTTTCACCACAGCCAAAAAATAAGGTAGCGTCGATTCATTCCTCGAAGATCTTGCAGGTCAAAGGAGAAATTGATATTGAACAAATAGTCACAGTGAAAGATTAAAAAGTATTATCTAAAGAAAAGTGGTAACAGAAAGCTGGTAAACCACGTTGAGTGTAAGGAAAGACAAGATCTCCTTGAAGCCATGATGCTTACCCTAAATTTAATAGTGTGTTTGCTTTTAGTATTTTGACTCAGATCTACTGGACCATGAAAGCCAGATGCAGCCCAGCTTACAGAGCTATGCAAACTGGAGAACCACAAGTACATCTAGCAGCAATGCTTACGAGGCCTAGAAAAAAATGCAGAAAGAAGTGAAAGAACAGTAATAAAATGTGTGGGAGGCTACAGTAGAAGCATTTCAAATTAAAAGGTAGAAGAGGGGAGGAATGGAAGGAGAAGGAGGAAGCAGAGGAAAAGGAAAGAAGAGAAACAGGAGGCGGGAAGGAGGAAGAGGGCGAGAGAGAGAAGGTAAAGGAGAAGGGGGTCAGGGGGCTTGGGGAGATACTTCATATAAATAAACCCATGGGCAGGATTCCAACATCAGTCTCTGATTTCTTCCAGATCTTCATTGTCTAGATGTGCTTATTCATCAATTATGAAACTTAAAAGGGTCTTTTTTAAAAAAGAGAAGCTTTCTTGAGGTATAATTGATATGCAATGGCAAAAATACACAATTTGATTAATTTTGACCTGTTCTTATTTACATGAATACTTCGCCATACTGAACATGTATCACCTTCAAACTCCTTAGTAACCCTTTGGAATCTCTCGCCCAGGTCCTCAGGGAACCAGAATCTTTCTGCAGATTCATTTGCATTTTCTAGAATATTATTTAAATAGAATCACACAGTACATCCTATTATTTCTGGGAAAAACACTATGTTTTCACTTAGGAAAGTTATTCTTGGATTAACACAAGTTATTGGAAGTATCAACATTTTATTTCTTTTTATTCTAGGATACTATTCAATTGTATGAATATACTATAATTTGTTTATTCACCCACTATTGGTGGACATTTGGGTTATTTCCAATTTGGGACTAATACAAATAAAGCTGCTATGAATATTCTTATGCAAGTATTTGCATAGACATAAGTTTTCATTTCTCTTAGATTAAATGCTGGGTGGAGGAATGGCTGAGTCTTACAATACATGTTAAATATTTTGCAGAAAGTGATGAACTGCTTTGCAGAAAAGATGGAGCTACTTTACCTTTCACCGCGACATGTGTGCCCTTCCCGGACATGCGCCCAACTCTGGGCATCTGGAGGTAGCTCACTGTGGCTTACCCCCAATTTCCCCAAGGGCGAGTGCCGCGGGGCATTTCTCTAAGCGCATACTTACCAGCTTTGGTAAATACCTTCACAACCCTCTTGACTCTTTTTACCGAGTTGGTTTCCTCCTACCAAGTCTTGAGAGCTTTCTCTGTACTCTGAACACGGGATGGGCACCTGACCCGTGATCTTTAGTAGGGCATATTTAAGCAAACTGTCACCAGCGTCAAGGGCAAAAAGGAATATTTAAGATGTTTTATGCTGATTTAAAATAATAGAAAATCCAGGGAAGGAAAAGCAAATTCAGAAGAGTTTATTGGACACAAATATAGCTATTTGAACATATATAGAGACTGTGTCATGTAATATCTATAAACAAAGCAGAGAAAAGTCAGTGAGCCAGGAAGTTATGGCCGGCGTTAGACTAACAAATGTGTCCCACAAGAAGCTGACTCCTGCCCTTGCCTTGAGCTGGCCTTCTCTCCTCTTCCGGGGGCGGATCAGGGTAGTTGTCTGCAGTTGCATCATTAGCTATTAATGACTTGGTTAAAATTTCCTGTTGTTCAACCCACACGGCCTTCTAAAGATCCACTTAAGCTCCTATTAAAGACTACATGGGAAAAGACTTACTATTTATGGAACAACCTTGAACATATTTTTAGGCAACATTTCCAGAGCAAGCCCTCGTCCGCTGTGGCTGCCCACCCACGGCAGAGCTTAACCTCACTACCTGGTCCAGAAGGTGATGCTGTAAGGCGGCTGACCAGCACCCAGGAGTGCAGGCTGTCCAGCTCAGCTTAGCGGACAAACAAGGAGAACTGAGAGCAGCTTGCTTCCTCACTAAAGGGCAAAGCCACATTTAAGGGACATCAATAATCGAGTTAGCAAAGAACAACTATTAATTCAGACAGTTCTATCACCATTTCCTTCCTAAGATAAAAATGAAAAAGTCAAGGAAAGCTTTTATAAGGAAAGAAATTCAAATTGACACTATTTACCACAGTAAGAAGGCCTGTACATGTCTGTGCAATGGAATTCAAAATTCCGTAAAGTTACCCTAGAAAGGCGAGGAAAGAGACCTAACACCAGCTTGAATCAGCGTCCTAGCTAACAGCGGACAGCTCCCTTACGGGACCGACCTCAGGATCACCCAAGAAGAGGAAATTAAAAGAGAAGCAGCACCCACTAGTGAACCTGAACCCTTACCTCTGAAATGAAGGCGTTCCAGATGTGAGCGCCATCACTTTACGGCCTCTTTGCTGCCCATTACGCTGTGTGTACTTATGCAAAATAACGGGCACAGGTCAAAGAAGCAAAGCACAGGCCCAGGACGAGGCCACCCAGCCTCCCTCTTCAGCGTGACAGTGACTGTGGCAGTTCGGCACGGACAGTTCTTTCTCACATTTCTCAACCAGCATTCTGCTTTCCAGGCCTTGCTCAGAGCTCTGCCTCTGTGAGTTAAACAGCAAATTAGTTTTCAAATGTTACGTGATCCAGAAAAAAGGACAGTGTGCCGATCCTTTCCAACAAAAATACTTTTCTCTATTTAATAATAATTTCCATGATGATAAAAAAGTTATGCCCACCACTTGGTGATAGTATACGCGCACATTCATAAACCTGCCCTAAGATAAATGTCTTCAAAGATTTTTTTTTATTCAAGGAAAAGAAAAACAAGTTTGCTGTTTATATAACACTCTGTAAATAGTTTATAAATATTTGCTGACAGAATGACTCATCAAGAAAGAAATTCTAGGGAAATCATGAAAATCTAAGTTGATCTTTAGGTATTTGTGCCAAGATGAAGCCAGCACCAAAGCAGAGAGAGTAGAGATACATTTGCACAGACTCTGAAGGTCTCCTCACCAGGCAGCGGGTGGCTGAATGGGTGGAGAGGTCGGAAACATCCCTAAGCCCGAAGTAGGACTGTGGGGATAGCTCCCGCACTCCGGGGACACAGGCTTCCGGCCCCGTCCCTGGGGGTCAGCTCCGAGTGACCAAGCCTTGCCCTGCACTGGCCTCGGATTTCATCACCCTTCTGACCCTGTGCCCTGTTGCCTGGTCTGCTCCAGGTCACTGTGTCCACTTTCCAATGTTGGGCCAGCAACATCAAAGACACAAAAATAACTACTTTACTACACACCAAGTTATTTAAAATTCTTCTTTAATTTAAGTTTGGCTGTAAAAACATGGATCTGTACTTCTGGGGTGGACCACCATGCCTTTACGACAAGGCCAATGGCCCCTCACCATTTGGAGGAAACTGCTTTTCCTGGGAGCAGCGAGTGGTCTCTCCCTGCAGGGCCACCTGGACTGGCTCCCCTCCCGAGGACCCAGGCAGCCTCCCCTGCTCCCTGAATGCTTCCAGCGCTGGGCTCTCCTCCTGTCTACAAAGCGGCCAACCCCGCCCCACACCTCTGGGTCCAGAGCCTCACAGCGTCCTGCTGCACCCGGCTCTGCTGTGCATTGGCCTCTACCTCTCCACTGGCCGGAATGTAATGAGAAAGTTCATGTGCACTTTCCAAAAAGCCATAAGCGTTCTGTGACTTCTAGCCAGCGACCTCAGCCAGTCTCATTCTTCAGAGCTTAACCCCAGCCCTACCTTCTCCACCTCTGCCTGTCCCTGTGTAAGCAGCTGCTGAGCCTTAGATTTCTTATTTTCTCCCGATGTTTATTATAAGCTCCCCAAGGCAGGGACCTGGGGCAGGACCTCTACAGAATGCATTTCCACCTACACTGCTGGCATGTAATAAGTGATCAGATGGTGGTCACTAATAGATAGATACTTCCAGTATACCTCAGAACACTGTCATACTCAGTGGAAAGTAACCACTGTATACGCATTGTTGAATGTTTAATCTAAAGAGAATGAATTATAAATTTAATTATTTAGAATAAATCTTTACAAAAAAATAGTACTACATGAAAAATTTATTAGGAAATTTTTTTAATTTATTTTTTAAGGAAATTTTTTAACTCATAAAATCCAAATCTTTTTTTTTGGTTTTTCTCCGGTACCGGGAACTGAACTCATGATGTTGCGCTTGCCAGGCAGGCGCTTTGCCGCTGAGCTAAATCCCCAGCCCCCCAAATCCAAATCTTTGATGTTCTGTTACCTTGGTGGATTCCAGAACATCATTTCTGTAGATACTAATCATTAAGCTAGTAAACTAGCTTAACTAAAGCAAAGTACTTTCTGAAAAATAAAATGAACAGTACATTAATTTAACAGTACTGAATTACGTACTAAATATAGAGGGATATTGTGGACTGGTAACAACCTCTTGGTTAACAAAATACATACAAATATTTTGCTACACTGATTTTTAAGGGAAATTATATTTTATTGCAATTATATTTTTATTCCTTTATAAAAAACTTTTTAAATTCCCCAATAAAATTTGTTGTATAGTTACACTGTATTTTCTAAACAAGTCCAGTGAAATCAAATAAATACCAAAGATTCCTCTTACTGCAGCTCTTGATTATATAACATTAGATGACCTGATAAAAACATAACAACATAAAGCAATATACACTACACGGTACTTACCGCATCTCATGCAGCTGTATCTCTCTAACACAACAAGGAGCTCTAATGCACTTCCACCATAAACTCCCATGAAGTCATTCAGTAAAGCACAGTTTGCATTTTTCTGGTAGGGAAGAAGATTCAGAAAACAAACTGTGCAGAGTGGAAGTCTGCTAGATTGGCTAATCATCCGGTGAAGGAAAGCAGCAGGGAATAAAGAAGCACTTTGGCTGATTAAAGGCTGATACCATGTTTCCAAAGAAAGTAGTAGAAAATTCACACATGAGTTTAAACACCAGGGAAAGGAGGATAAAGTTTAGAGGAATAAAATTCAGAACTCTAACATAAAAAGGTGGGAAGAAGAATGAACAGCGGGCCAAGTTGTTAAAAATAAAAATATACATATATGAAAGAAAAAGATACTTACAAAAGGGAGAAACATCTCCAAACAAAACCAGAAGCCTACTAAGATATAGGAATAAAATCAACTACATAAATTTCATGCTAAAATATAGAAGTGGTGAATTATCCTCCTAAAACACAAAGGTTGCCATTTTGGGTAACATTTAAAGCGGGTGATATACAAAGGCTGAGAACAGTACAGTGGGCCAGAAGATACTCTGCTCAGGCAAAACTAAGCTGAAAGGAGGCTCGGTATTGTTACCGGCACACGCCAAGACAGGGCAGTAGGTTACAAGATTAAACTGCAGTACATAATACGAAAACAATCTTAAGCTAACTTTCATAAACACATTCACCAAAAAGTATAACAACTACATGAAACTTATTCAAAATGTATCCAAAACATGAGGGAGTTGAGACCACAGAAGAAATCAGAGAGGACACCAACGGAGAGATGACATACTGTTAAAAAATGTACTGGGCTGGGGCAATGTAAGTTCTAACAAAAATAAGATCACATCACTTAAAATAACCAGACTACGGAAAAAGCCTCAGTTTAACTCACTACAAAGCACTGATAAAGATAACGGTAATATAAACACAGAAGCTGGTTTCACTACTGACTACGGATGCAAATATCCTAACCTATGCTGAATGAGGTTAGGGAAAAAGTATCCAGTCAGTGGTAACAGGAAGTATCTTGCTGAGGTTACCTATGATCCCCTGATTGCAAAGCACGTCTTGACTTCAGAAAGAGTAAAATATAAATATTACATGCATACCCTCCCAAATTCAATGAAATCTGTTATAAAATCCCTAGAAATAAAGGTTTTAAAAAGATCCAACCTTGAATCAAGCTGTAAAATCTTACTGAGCTCCTGGATACAACCTTAGATCTATAAGGATGTATTTTTAAAGTTCCCCAATAAATTCCACCATAGAGCCACGCTGGACAAAATAGTCAACTGATGAAAACAACACAAATGTCCACCAAAAAGGAATGGATGTACAAAGTGTGTAATACACACACAGTGGACTACTATTCAGCCCTGAAAAGAAGGCAGTACTGATAACATGCTACAAAACAGATGAAGTTTGAAAACCTGATGCTAAGGAAACAGCCCAAACAAATGATCACATACTGTGTGACTCTTACCTGAAACATCCAGCATAGGTGAACCCACAGGGATAGAGGCACGTTGGAGGTCACCAAGTGTAGGAAACCCGCCTACAAGTTCATCTCTGACCGGGTGCCCACAATGATCAAGCAGACACAGCGTTAGTCTAGAATGCAGGGTGGGGACGGGGTCTCTTCCCTCTCCTGGATGGAGAGCCCGGAGAGTCTGGCTCGCCTCACCTTCATTCCCTCAGACACAGAAAAGAGCAATTCGGGCAGCAGAAGACTCCTCTGCCTGTTATTTGAAGTACGCGCCCGGGGATAGCGCCGGGTCCTAGCGGCGCTGACTTTCCCCGCAACGAGCAACGCCATCCGGGAGGGCCGCAGGACACGGACGTGAGCGAGCACAGCCCGGGCCTGCCTCCTTGTGCTCACCACCGAGGTCGCTTAGGCCTCGATCTTCATTACCCGGCGCCCCCCAGCCGACGGCGCAGCAGGGTAGGAAGACCGGGCCGTAGTGTGCGGCGCGCCCGTGCAGGGGGACGCAAAGCTTTAGGCCCAGGGAGCTCTGCGGGGCTCAAGCCCTTGTGCAGGGTGCGCGAGGCCCCGAATGCAGACCCTGAAATTGAGAGAAAAGAAAAAGTGATTGTCTGCTATGAGAATTTCACCTCCATAAAAAATGGGTGCTATCTCCAAAAAATAATGCGTAAAGGTCAGCTTGGTGTTACACTCAGGCAGAGCCGGCCATCGCGCGTAGCGGCCGTGGCAGTACCTCAGGGCTGCCTGGAGATCGCTCTCAAACGTTTCCTTCGTGTATTCAGAGCATCTGAAATGTTTTTAAGAGGAAAACGTGATTTATGACGCGATCAGACACACACACACTGCAAGGCGCTCATGGTGCACAGTGAATAGCTCCGTGTGCGGAGCGAGGGCAACTGCGGGGAGCCCCCTCGAGGTCCCAGCGCGCCCCACCCTGACGCCCTCGCCCCTCACCGCAGCTCGGTGGCTCCTCCAGCTCTGCAGGCTCAGGCTGGGCCGGCACAGCGCAATTCCCTGCTCCAGCCCAGCGAGCCGGGCGCCCTGGGTCTGCGGCAGGACACAGGCCTTCAGGCAGAGTCTCCACATCTTTGTCCCCGTCCTTCCTTTCAGGCATTATTTTCCGGATCACTGCCCGTGAAATTTAGTACCACAGATTTCTTTCATTATGCTTTGTGCTTTTTCCTCACTAGGTAGTTCAGGCAGGTCTTGAACTCACTACGGAGGCAATGTTGGCCTAGAGAACTTATGGTTAGCCTCCTGCCTCAGCCTCGCAAGTGCTAGGATTACAGGCTTGCACCACAACGCCTGGCTAATGTCACAGATTTATTATATGTTTGTTGATGTATGCCTGATGGTGATGTATGCACAAAAATAGTAAGGTTCTTTTCCCACTCCCATGAGCAAACTTCTGCCCCTCCAGGAAGGTCTGAGTCGCATTGAGAAGGCATATACTACCGTTACGTCAGCTGAATGTGTCTTGTGATACTCCTTATATTCCTTCTATTGCAATTTGTAAAAGTAAATTGAGTAGCTAAATTTTGCTTTTATTCATAGAAAGGAGACTTAGACCACATTTCTGAGACTGCTGGGGGATCATTTAGATTAGCAGCGTAAGGAGGGGGCTAACGGCGGTCATCTTTTGAGAAGTCACCTGCTGGGCCGACGCCCGCCTCCCTCGCGGTGGCTGGAAACATGCGGTCCGGACTGGGGGAGTAACACACACAGAATTGGGAGGTCAGTCAGCAAATGCCTTGTTTCCGTGAAGAACTGGCATTGCAGAGAACCACAGCAAATCCAACAGCAATTCTCCCACAACGCTGGTATCATTTATGTGTTCAACTAACTTATTCAAAGGTTCTGCGCAGTGATACCTACCCTAGTCCGGATTTTGAAAATGAAAACAGGAAAAGCACTTCAACTGCCCCTGCGGGGGCGCAGACACACACGCAAGCAGTGTTCCCTCCGGCCTCAGGGAGTTCCTGCGTCCTCACGGTAAGAAGCCGCTCGCTTAGGCTCTGGCCGCCCAGGACCGCGGGAGGGGTGCACGCAGCCACACGCGGCGGGACCACCAGGCCACGGCCACGGCTGCGCTTGGGTCGGGCAGGAGCGCGGAGCAGGGCCTGCACAACCCTCCCACGGATTTGTTCCTGCTCCCGCGTCTCTCTCTTGCCTGCCCTAGGCCACGGTAAATAGCTCCTGCCTCCAGGGTGTATCCCATCAGGACACTTAAACCAGAAACAAGCTAGGTGTGCGCATGTATCTATGCTTAATCATTTAGCCTATTATACTGTACAGTGTTTATTTTTAGCCTTACCAGTGGAAAAGATTCTCCTGTTCCATGTCTTAAATTTTTAAGGGAAGAAATCTGAAATGCAAATAAACGATTTCATAGGTTTTTCACACTGCCTTCAACGGAAGGAATGGGAGGCGTCATCAGCCGTGAGTGCAGAGCCTCACACGTGACCTGGGAGAGGCAGCCGCAGCTCCGGAGCCTCGGTCCTGCTCCTGTACGACTCGCTCAGCAGTGGCTCCAGCCTGCAGGGGTGGCTGCCAGTCTCAGAGGGCCAGAGAAGAACCCAGGAAAGTGAGCAGCTCCTTGGAAACTTCCAGATACTGCTTCATGATGGGTACAGGGGTACATGGAGGCCCAGCTACTCGAGAGGCTGAGACAGGAGGATTGCTGGTTGGAGGCCAGCCGGGGCAACACAGCAAGAGCCCATCTACAACAGAGTACTGTTATGATAACAGTAATATTATTCTCTTGGCTATTCTTTTATTATCCTAAACTGTAACTGGTACAATGCCTGTCCATGAAAATGCATATTAAAAATGTGTCAGCGAATGAATACATTCAATTATATGTGAGTCCTTAGACTGTGTTTACTTAAATTGAGTACTTTCTCGTGTTTTTTTCCTCTAATGTTCTTCTTTAAAGACAGGGCTTCCACTGTCCCTGGAAGTAGAGTTGAGATGACATTTCCCTTGTGCATAGATTGATATTCTACACAGTGCTCAGAATTTCAGTTTAACATTAAGGGTCAAGAACAGGAATTGCCTGGAACTTAGGTATCTGTGCAAGTGTTCAGTTATTTAAAATGAAAATTCTGAGGTGGGGGCAGAGAAAATCCGTAAAGAATATAAAGGTTTTGTTACAACAGTCTATAATTTTTTCTGAATCTTATAATCTAGAAAACTGATGCATTAACTGATTACAGTTAGGTTTCCCTAAAAATAGTCCATAGGATCTAAACCAGTGCTTCTCCAACAGTAACCAGCAGGTGAATTTTGTTGCAATACAGACCCTGGTGGAGAAGTTCACAGATGGTGTCTGAGACACCCAAGCTTGTGTGATGCTGGTCACGCTGTCTGCAGACCAGTTAGAAAACTGAGGACCAAAGATCTTAAAATATTCCATGTTCTTTAAGGCCAGGGATAAATATAACTGTTTTAAGACACTGAAATGAGATGAGGTTTCATTTTTTACAATGTAATTTTATCAGCAAGTTGGTCAACAAGACAAATTTTAAGCTTTTCCTCATAGCTATCATTAACCACAAAATAAAAATAGCACATGTCCCTCTGTGAGTGAAGAGTGTAACAGGTAAACAGAGACAAGTTAACTTAAAGTAGGTGACAACTGTGATTGGTGGACTTTTTTTTAGCTTTCCATAGCAAGTCTGGAAAGGAAGAAAATAGTTGTGCTTGCAAAAGAGCACTCAAATGTCAGCTTTAATTAACAGAAAGGAAAGAGGAGATGAAGGTCATGCCGGAAGTCAAATACAAATGGGAAATTATCTCTAATGTATGTGACAGGCAATAGTTCACTCTTCTTAATATATAAAATAGTCCTCTACAAAAAAAGGTCCAATTTTTAAATTCATAAAGGACTTGAACCTGTCACACGGAGGAGAACAAGTTTTGCACGTATTTTAGAGATCGCGGTGTTAACGACTGAGTCATTGCGCAGGGAAATAAGATGCTGCTCTTTAACTGCTTTATTCTGAAATTCAGATTTTTCTAATCTAATCAAAGAGATGGTGAAATTGACAGTCACAAAATCGGTTTTACATTGGTAATTTTTAAAAACAATTCAGTCATCAGGATCAAGGTTCTTAAAATACTCATGTTTGCAGGAGCGTTAAAGATTTGCCATTTAGAACAAGTCCTGTGCAGCTGTGATGTGACTAATTTCCAGCCTTGACATTTGACGTGTTCTTCTCCATCCCTGCTCTTTTTTGGTTTTACTGAAAGGAAAAATAACTTCCTCAAAGACTGGCTTCTTCAAGAGGACGGCCTCATGTTCCCTCTGTCCACTTTTGCCCACACAGGAATCCGGGCAGCATGGAGCCCCGGGCCACTGCTGTGTGCTCCCACTGGCTGAATCTGCGCAATCTTCCTGAGCTTGTGCGGGCGTTCCCTGCAGGGGACCTCACCTCATCAGCAACAGCCGAAGCTGCTCACCTCCGCACTGCAGCTGGGTGTCCCCAACCTGTAGGCACACACCCCAATGCCGAGTCTTTTCCAGGACCACACGCCGGTGGAGCTCTTTAGGGTTTTAGGGCAAGGAGATCACCCCACACATTTTCCCTGAATGGGGAAGCAACGTTCTCTTGTCAGAATTCAACTCCCCTTTGGAAAGGGATTTCCTCTCCTGTCCACTGTGGCTGCAGCAGAACACAACTCCAAAGCTTACCGAGTACCAAGTTTACTGACATGACCTGTCCTAAAAGACTTCAGCTCAAGTGATTCATTTTGGGAAAAAACACAGGACACTGAGTGCCTGAGTGTGTGACTCACTCACTGGTCCTACTGTCCAAGGCGTGAGCTTGGTTACTTCTCACCAAAATCCTTTTTGAGGTTTTTGAATTTTGGACCGTGTGCCTTTATTAGTTACTCAAAAATTAGTTATACAAAAGTCAAGTCAGCGCCAAGTCTTCTGACCAGCGGCTCACTCCCTGCCTCATAGGCCCCCAGAGGGAGGGCCCCCGGCGCATGGGGAGCCATGCGGCAGGGAGTGCTGTTGCGCGCTGCCCCTTAGGCTGGCTGCCGCTGCTCATTTGAGAACTATCATGACACAGAGAAACAATGACACAATTGGCCCACCATGCACCGACTGCAGATGCCCACCCACAGAGGGGTGTGAATCATTCAAACATGGAAAAACCCCTGGAAATACATGCCATACAACGGGCCACTCTTGCTCCTGCCATTGGGAACCAGAAAGGTCCAGAGTCAGCGGAGAAGCAGCTGCTGAACAAGGACTCAGAGAACATGAGAATGCAGACTAAGCTGGAGGAGTCAGAGGTCCTGTGGACTGCAGTCATGAGAGCCACTCGGAAGCTGTAAACCAGGAGGACCTTGCACAGTACCTGCAGAGACTCATTGGAAGCCATTCTTCCCCTGACAGTACAGGCTGTGGTGGAGCTCCAGAGAAGTCTGCAGCAGGATTCCTTCTGCCTGTGCTGACAGTTGGGGAGAGGACACTAACTGGTTGTGGGGTCCCAATGCGATGGGAGGCTGGAGAGAAAACGCTACAAAAAATGGCTTTGGCCCCAGATGGCTCACTTGATTT